AAAGGTAGGTTAAGTAGTCCTTTGACTTCCATGATATCTGTGTTAGGAAAGTTAGTGTCTCTTTGATTTAACTTGGATCTCATGCTGTTTAGGAAGTTGGAATTGTGACTCTGCTCAGAGAATCCAGCGTCCTCGTAACTGTGTAGGTCATCTTATAAGAATAATTCGCTTCTCTGATCAAAGGTATGTCTGTCTCATTAGTATTCATAAAATCCACTATCTTTTCTATCTTTTTCTTTTTTTCAATGATTAGATACTGTAGTAATACTATAAAATATTTCTTAGTTTCTTTCTAGGAAGTCTATTCAAACTTCAGGTTTCAATTATTGATGCTGAGATATTTTGATGAAACCTTCATCTCTATTCAGAGAAGTAATTACAAATTTGTTTCACATGTGGTCTCCATGGTTTCTTTTTTCGTGGAATCTTTTTTGAGGTCTCTTTTATAACTTTTCTTATGTAATCCTCAGATTTCTACTAAACATTATTTGCATTAGGAATTGTCTACTAACTTTATGTGTGTGGTAGCCAAGTATGAAAGTGGTTGCAATCTTGTTAACTTGATATTCAAAGACAGTATCCTTTAAACCTAGAAGCTAGGAAGTTTCTCGATACTTTTCCACTGCCACTGGTTGCCCATTTAATTTCTTCTCATTTATTTGTTCATGTTTTACCTTTTTCAGTCCTATTGACTTACTGTGGGTCTTGAATACCTTGTTTTTCTCAGGTCTTTTGGAATTATAAAACAGTTTGACAGCATCACCAAAAAACATTTGGTAAGGAAGCTTTGAATTTCTTCTAATGGAACTCGGACACCCGTAATTTGGCTGATTGTTTACTCTTGTTCTTCCCTCAACTGCCCCAACCCAACCTAACAGATCATGTTTGAAGATGGTAGTGTTGAGTACGTTGACATGTCAACGGAAGATTGGGAATTTTGTAACTTTCTTGTGTAATCAGGTATTTGTTCCAACTTTTCATTTAAGGTTCATTCTATTATTTGTATGCTAGTGCAGAGTGGATCCATGTACCCAGTTCAGGTTTAAAGGATGAATTTTAATTAGGGATAATATTCTAAGGAGTCGTTAGAGATTTTATACCAGTAGAAAATATAGAGAACTTCTGGTACTTCTCATTTCTATTTTTGTATAATAGTGGCATGATATGAGCTTGCATGGAACAACATGATCACTGAGGATTCATATAGCCGATCCGAACTTGTTTGGGATTTAGACATACTACTATTGTTGGTTTTCTAAGGAGTTCAATGCGGAACAATTGTTTTGTAGGTCTTAGATGTCAGGATTAAGATAGACATGATTCAACGTCTGCAGCAGAGATGCGATATGTTGTTCAACATCCAAATTGCAATGGTTCGCTAGCTTTGTTTATGTTGTAACAAATGTAGCATGTTTCTTCTCCCAATTTCATTTGTTGGTACAAGTCTGCTGATGTTAGTACTCTCCTTTGGAGATGGAAGTTCTGATGATTCTTTCCCATGTATAAACATAACAAATGTAACAATAGCTCACCCCGTTCCCAATTGTATCGGATGTCCCTGATAAACAAGTTGACTATATGGTTCATAATTCATTAACTAGAGAGAAAAGAGAAATTCCTTAGCTCTCTATTTTTGTACCTTGATTGCTCGTGTATTCGTTAGCTCTCTATTTTTGTACCTTGAAATGTGTTTGTTTCTGTTCATTTTTTTCTTGATCTTTTTCACATTCTATTTCTACTTTGGCCTGCAAAAAGAGAATTTGCTTTCACAATTTCTTTTACTTGTGTGCTTTGATTTCTAAACAGGTCAATATCATTATGAACTATTAGTTTATTTACAACTCCTATTACCAAATCTGTTTGTGTGCGCGCGAGTGTTATACATGGCATGTCCAACTAGCCCAAATTTTAGGTTAAAATAGCACGGTCTAGCCAGTTTCGGACTGGTCATTCAAAAATAACCAGCATTTGCCAAGTCATTGAAAAATAGCCACTATTTTGTTGCAACAGAGATCGGTCCAGCATAATATACTGGAGTTTAGTGCACCTGTGTATGAACTTCCAGAATATGGATCGGTATACTTTGTTGGCTCCAGTATAATATACTGGAGAATGGAGCACCGGTGTTCCAAACTCCAGTATATTATGCAGGACCGGTATATTATACTGGAACTCTAGTATATTATGCTGGAGTATTTTTCCGGATTTTGAATAGTGTTTTCCTTAAGATTTATCTTTACATGAAAAGTGGCTAAATTTCGATTACTTTTGAAACTGTGGTTATTTTTGAATGACCACTTGTAAATCTGGCTATTTTTTAATTTCTCCCAAATTTTAGCTAATTGGCTAGGCATATAATATTATTCATGGGAAAATGATACTGTATAGTCGCTTTCAAACTAATAGCTAAAAAAGTATGTATTTTTTATATATTTAATATACATTTTGTATGTTATATATAAAAATTATACAAATTATATATATTTTTTTGACTATTGAATGTAAATAGATTCTGATGGGAACTAAAATTGAAAAAAAAAAAAAAAAAAAAAACCCGCTATATTCATTAGCGGGTCAATTCAGGCAAATCCAAATCAGTCCATCTGAAGGTTTGGACTAATTAGCAGCCTATGTAGTCTAATTTCTTTTTTTGAGTAGTTAACTGGAAATTTATATATAATACTAGACTTCCAACCGAGAGGTTGTGAGTTCGAGTCTCCCCAAGAGCAAGGTGGGAAGTTCTTGGAGGGAAGGATGCCGGGGGTCTATTTGGAAACAGTCTCTCTACCCTAGGGTAGGGGTAAGGTCTGCGTACACACTACCCTCCCCAGATCCCACTAAGTGGGATTATACTGTGTTGTTGTTGTTGTTGTATAAAGTCTTACATATTACATGTCATAGTGACATCGGGGCTAGATATCCCCTCTTGCAAACAGTTGTTGTCACTTGTAATGTTTAGGTTCCCTAATGATTTAAACATATTACATAAAGAGATAGGTAGTTTTTTTTAAGACAAGCTATTCTCGCTCATATCCTTTGTCAGAAAAATCAGCGGTTCAGCAAGCATCTTAGTCCCTTTTGGGTTAAAATTACTTTTTAATTTTTGTTTTTTGCTTCCTTGGCTAGTGCATCAGCTACAACATTCCCTTCCCTGAAATTATATCGTAGTAGAAGACCCTTCTCCTGAAGCATTAATGACCTGCATGAAAGAATTAGATTAGTAAGAACTGGATGTCCATTGCTTATTGCGTTAGTTACTTCAGTTGAGTCTATTTCCACTTCCAATGGGTAAAGATTGAATTTTGAAGCCAACTGAAGTCCTTCCAGGAGTGCCTGTAATTCCATGTGTAGAGGAAATAAAGCACTACAGTATTTATGAAAACCTAGAATCCATTTTCCCGTATTGTTTCTAAATACTCCCCTTATTCTACCGCCTGTTTTGTTGCATGTCCCATTTATGTTGAGCTTAATCCATCCTTTTTGAGGAGCATGTCATTTAACTTGGATTACTTTGGTAACCTCTGAAGGGGGTTTTGGTATTGAAGAAGTGGAATTCAATTGCATGATTGTAAATGGTCTTTAAGGAGGGTTTTCTATTGTTGTTATTAAGGTTGTTGTAGTTGCGATTAATCCAAATTTCCCAGATTAGAAAGGGAAGGAGGTCTGACCATTCCAGATGTGGGATTTGATTCTAGGGATCTGATTTCTAATGTGGATGAGCCAGTGTTGGTTAGATGTTGGAGTAGGGTTAGTGATACCAAGCTCATTCAATAAGTGATGCACTGGGGGGCTTTTGATAAAGATGTGCTCTATAGATTCTTCTTCATTGTGGCACATCGGGCATTCATTGTCTATATTTATCCCAATATGCTAAAGATATTTCCTGCAAGGTAGACTATTGTGAAGACATTGCCAAAAGAGGTATTTGATTTTATTAGGGCAATTTAGTTTCCATATCCACATGAAGTCATATTGAGGCTTTTTTGTAGGTTTAATAATTGTAAGGCATGATTTGCTGATGAAATAGCCATTAGAGTTCATGTTCCATATCGGAGTGTCTTTATTATCATTAAGAAGTATAGGAAATTGATAAAAAATTTCCATAATATTGGCAGACAGTTCAAAAGATAATTTAGAGGAATCTCATTGGCCATTTGAAAAGATATCCTTTACTTTAGTGGATAATTCATGCTTATTGAGAGGACCTTTGATGCATTCCCTTAGTGGTTGGAGATTTGGTATCCAATTGGATAACCAAAGGTTTTGATTAGAATTCTTGTAAGGTTGTCATGTAATGCCCTCAGTGCAGATTTGACCACCCTTTTAGGATGTTTTTCCATATGAATGAGGTATAGGTTAGTGTTTTGTTCCTTGCATATTTCAGTATAATAACTTTGCACCATAAGACAATGGGAGTGGAGATAATCCTCTAGGCTAGGTTACTTAGAGCTATCAAATTTTTTGTATTAGCATCTTTTATGCCAAGCCCTCCCTCTTCTTTGCTTTTAGTAATGGTATTCCAGTTGACATAGTGGACTTTTTTGGTCTCATTAGTTGAACTCCAGATGAAGTTACGTTGAATACGATCAATTTGGTTTAGAGTTTTGGTGGGGAGATGGGTGTATTGCATTACATGACTAGGGATATCATTGAGAGTTGATGTTGCTAGAGTGGTACGACCCGCTATGTTCAGAAAATTGGCTTTCCATGAAGATAATTTCCTTTGCATATTGTCAATAATAAATTGGTAATCCCTAGGTTTTGGATGATTTTGAAGAATTGGAAATCCTAGGTATTTGCCAAAGGTGTTGCTAACACTTATATTGAAATTTTTAGCAACTTATTTAGTGATAGTAGTGGGGCAATTTTTTGAGAAGATTATTTTAGATTTGTGCATGTTGATGTTTTGCCCTGACAAGGAGTAGAAGATGGAGATGCTCCTTTTAATAGTGTTACGAGATTTCTTGTTTACCTTACCCATAAGGGTAAGGTCATCCGCAGAGAATAAATGAGAAATACCCGGATCATTAGGACTAAGTTGGATGGGATCCCAGTTGTGGATATTTATTTGATGTGAAATTAAGTGTGAAAACATTTTCATGCATAGGATGAATATATAAAGGAATATGGGATATACTTGTCTAGTACCCGTACTAGGACTAAAAAAGGAAGTAGTTGATCCATTAAATAGATTGGCAATATCACTCGCAAGAAGAATTATCAAAACATAGAAAAACAAGTTTTTCTGTTTGATTTGTTTCGTAGTTATAGTAAGGAAAAGAAAAAGGTTTTATTAGTTTAATATAGTGAGAACAGCAAACAAATGAAAAATTACCAATGAAGTGGGCGAGTTGGGTCATGACACGTGTATAGCCTAAATTGACTCAACCATCTTTGAACCAAGTAAATTTTATGAGATTATATATTAATTTGTTCATTAATTCAACCAATTTTAACTCGCATTAGATAGGGAGTATTTTTATACACGATTTAAAATTCTTGTAGTCTTTTATGGTGAATCATCCAAGAATGTGGTGAGATGATAACGATTGCTTCACCCTTAATAAAAGATCTCAATTATTAAGGAAAAGCAAAGTTTATGAAGTTTTTAAAGTTTAACATCCTTAAAATTAAATTTAGATTTGTAGGATTGAAATAGACTTTTAATGTCAAAATCTTGTCGGAAAAAAATAGCCTAAATAAACTTTTAATGTCAACTGCTAAAGCTAAAACGCCTATGAATATACTTCCTCCGTTTCAAATTAAATGAGGTGATTTCCTTTTTAGTATGTTTCAAAATAAATGATACATTTCTAAATTTAGAAATAATTCAACTTTAAACTCTTCATTTTACCCATTTTACCCTTAATAAGAAGTTTTTATAACCACACAAATGTCATGGCCCCGCAAAACTTTTACCCCTAAAATTGTTAAGACCACAAGTTTTAAAAGTCTTTTTTTTCTTAAATTCCGCGCTGAATCAAACTATCTCGTCTAAACTGAAACGAAAGGAATATTATTTATATATAGTAGTATGTATTTTAATGCATAATATATCATAGGGGTATTTAGGGTTCGGTTTGGTCGGTTTTTTATTAAAACCAAAACCAAACCAATTTAATCAGTTTTTAAAATTTTAAAACCAAAACCAAACCAAATTAAATACAAATCATCGGTTTGATTGTTGTTGGTTTGGTTCGGTTTGGTTCGATTTTTCGGTTCTTAGTAAGCTAATGATAAGTCGATAATAGTAAAACAACGCTAGACAACAATCTGAAAATAATTTGCTAAATTTATGCTTTTTTATATATTTCTTTCAGAACTGAAAGGTTATTTACCTGTTTATATGAAAAGAATGAACAAAAAACAAACTAAAAGTTTGCTTTCTCAAGCTTTAGCCATTGTTGTCTTGCAATTTGAATTTGCTTTCTTTACTCTTGTGGTGTTTTTTTTAACTATTCTGTTAGATAAAAGTCTGGGTTGTTGTTGTTGTTGTTAGGCAAAAGTATGTGCGGAGGGTTAGAGAATTAGAGTCTCTTAATGAAAAGAAAATTGGTCGAGTCCTATTGTTTTGGGTTTATGCAATCTTTTAAGATATAAAAGGATAAATCAAAATTTAAAATAATAATTAAAATGCATAAAATATTTAAAATTATTTACAAAAAGATATTATATTGTATATAAATAATTACTGTATTAAATTTTGTATATAATTAGTCGGTTTGGTTCGGTTTATTTTTCGATTTTTTAAAATAGAACCAAAACCAAACCAAATATTATCGGTTTTTTAAATTTAAAATCAAAACCAATCCAATCAAAAAAAAATATCGGTTTGGATCGATTTTCCGTCAAACCATGAACACCCCTAATATACCGGATAAAAAACTAATGTACTGAATTAGACGGGCTATTTATGTAAAGGAAGAAGGAATCCTTTTTCCCGCCAGCATTTTCTACTTATATTTATCTCTACACAGTTTCAAGGGTTTTATAAATTTCTCTTTTCGTCACTGCAAATTCAAATTCCTCTTCAATGCCGACGCTTTCATGGCGGCAGCATACGCTAATTCAAGCTCTTTTATCTCGCGGCCCACACAAAGAAACTGATTTCAAATCACTTTTCTTCAAAGTCACTAGCAAATCCGCAGGTCTTTTTTTTTCTACTTCAGTTTATTTTTCATTTAAAACTCTTTTTTTCGCATCAGTTTATGGGTTTTTAGTTAAACTCGTATGATCCAATTACAATATTAGTGATTTTCATGTTTTTATGGGATTTTTTTTTATTTTGTTATGAAAATTTCAGTTTTAATTGTTAAGGGATGGTTATCAATTTCAAAAACCCAATTAGAAATCTTATTCAAGCTTCTTTTTTAAAATTGTTAAAGGAGTGTTATATATTTATGAAAGTTAAATTATTACCAAAATTTCCATTTTGATGCTTATGTGCAAAAGGGGGTAAATTTTATTGTTAAAGAAACAAAATGTTTAATGATTCTGATTTTATTAAGATTTTATCTTTTCTGTCTTTTGCTGATAAGTATTACTATTAATTTAATTAGTTCTTTCATTAGTGATGTATAAAATTAACTGAAATAGATTAAAAATCCTTTTCTTTTCTAGTGACTGTGCAGGAAAAAAAGGTTGGTTTCTGATACTGATTTTATATGTGTATGTTTCAGCTAATCAACAGTCAATGTTTAATGAATACCTGAGAAAGATAAATGAGGAGCTCGCTTATGTGCAGTTTGAGTTACGGGCATGTAGAAACCAGTATGATGGGAAGGTGTATTATGGTGTTGTTAACAATGTTTCAGATGAGCAATCCAAACTCGGAACTAAATATTCAGTTCCTCAGATTGCTTTCTATAAAGGCGTTGTGAGCTTTTTATCCCTTTAATTTTTAGGTCTTTTGAACTGTGTTGAGAATGTCATTAGCTGTTTGTATGGTCTTTCCGTGTTCATTTGAGGAAGTATTTCCATAATTTTTTGTCTAGGAATATTCTTGCTTTGTGAAAGGGAATAGAATGTAAAAGGAAAACCTTCATTAGACTATGAACTAGAGAACAAGAACTTAATAGGTTGCACCGAATATAAAAGAAACTGCTGAGTGCTAATTTTCTCATTTGAACTCTGACACCGTTATGTATGTATTTCCATTTGACCATTTTTGCATGGGCTGGGAATAGCTTTGCCTCCTAAACTTACATCAAAGATGACGGAAAAGGAAGAAGATTCGCATCTTATTAGCCTTCTAAAACATAGATCTTTGTGATTAAGTTAGTAATGAATTGCATGATCCTGTAACCTATATGATGAATCCGGTATGGGAATAAAGCAACTGACCTTTTGTTCAAATAACAGTAGAAACATGAACTGAATCTTCCTTCAGTCAAGCTTAGTTCTAAGCTCTGTTAGTTATATACAAAATAATATTCAGGAGGCCCATTAAAATTGAGAAATTGAAATGCGTTGTTCATTTACTTTATACCAGCTCAAAATGTTGGTAGTGGAAGAGGTATGGTGTTCTTCATTTACTTCGTTCTAATCTTGTGTCCCTTTTCTCAAACAAATTTACACTAAACGTTTTAAGGGAAGAATTGAATAACTAAATTAGTTGGTTCCGGTAATTGATCTCAATCAATCAACTAAGCCTCAATCCTAAACTAATTGGGTCCTGCTATATGAATCTTCCACTCATCTGCATCCATTCTACTCAAGCCCACTTCATTCAAATATTGAGTAAATTGTATTTTGAGGTAACTTAGGTGTTCCCTACAATTAAAGATCTCTAAATGTCACACTTAACCCAACATGGACATAAGATTCTCTAGCTATAATTAAAAAATCCTTGCAAATGTTGGACCTAGTGTATCTGTGTAGTAACTTAGCCTTAATCCTAATCATTTGCTTCCATTGTATTATGTTTTTAGCTAAGACTGGTTAGTGTTTCTTAAAGAAAATAAATAGGAATATACGAAGATCTTGAACATTGTTTGCTAGTAATGTCATTATGAGATTAAGATTTTTCCTTTTTCTTTTTGACATTAGAATTCAAAAAAAAAAAAAAAGATTTATGTGGTCATCTATAATTGCAGATTGAAGCAATTGTTCAAGATGTGGCATCTTTGGGTTGTATTTCAACCATTGATGCACTAAACATACGGCTTGAAAATCAGGTTTTCTTACTTCCTAACAATAAATGAATGTCTGTGGCTACTATCAGGTCCATCGTTTATAGTATCTAGCTTGCTGCTATCTTCGTGTGAGTGATTAGCTAAATGCCAAATTAGGGTTTAGAAGATAAAGTGTTCTACACTATTGACAACTTTCCTTCTCTAGCCAAGGTCAATATAGCTAAACTTGTTCATACTTGTAACTAGTCGAGTCTGATTTTCACAAGCGCGCACGTGCACACACGCACATACAGTTTCTACATAGAGATAATGCAGCATTTACAGGTCAAAGAACAGCAACATAAAAAGATAAAGCCCTAAGGAGGCAGATATTCATGGCCTCGGATGATCTTTGCTTTATATTCATGTTGATTGCCTTGCTTTCTGTTGCCTCTATATTCATATTTAGTAAGTTTCTATCTGGAAAATAGTGTAAAATAAAGTATTCGGGGAATGGTTGGCTAGTATCATCTTATGGCAGCAAATCATTTTCTTACTCATTCAGAGGTTATCTGCTACTTAATAATGGGGCTTTTGATTTTTTACTTAGAGTCACATGACCAATATGTACTTACAGTCAACAGAGACTGAATGGTAACTATTTATTGTGAATACCAAAACCTCCTGTTTATTTGTTTACTTCTCTTGTTTGATGATAAGAGTGGACACTTTTCTTCAATCAGTTAGAGGATATGGAATGGGACTTAAACCCATGTCTCATCGGGACCAAGGCTTTTACCCTTGTTCATTGACCAGGATGTTAATACATATGAAGTGCCTTTTCGTAGAATGTCAACAAAAAATGGCAGGATGGCAGGATATGGTTATGACTTCTGAATTAAAAAATATTCTCGTATAAACATAGTAAATTTGGTTGCTATTAGATCTGAGCTCTTTGTACTTTACATAGCTCCGATTTGTATCTTTGCTGTACCACTAATTTCTTTGCTGGAAATTTATTTGATCAACAGTTCCTGGCTGGAACAGATTCCCAGTCCCAGGGAGGTTCAGTGCAAATTCCTGCAGCGTTTAGGAATTTCTCGATGTCTCAAAAGGAAAAGACCCTTGAGGAACTTGTGAAGGATCAGTGGCTTTCTCTAACAGATGGTAAGATAGGACTAGGAGTGCGTTCCTTTCTTGATCTTAGAAGTTGGTTTCGCAGTAATGAGGTTCCTCCATGTGAAGTTTGCAATGAAGCTGCAGTGAAGGTTTGCTCCTCTCTTAATTTCTTCATTTGATCTCCATGATCTCTGTTGAACAACTTTCTCCTTTCAAATTGGAGCACTTTTACTGCCATTTTAGCTGAATACTCAATTCATCTTCCCTTACTGCAATTTGGTTTGATAATGTCACTGCAAACATCCATCCCTAAGAAAGATGCCTATGTGTCTATCATAACTATATGGCTGCTAGATCATCCAACTCATGGTGATATGATTATTTGACCAGGCTGAGCTTTGCCAAAATGAAGGCTGTAATGTTCGCATCCATCAGTACTGCTTGCGAATGAAGTTCTCCCAACACAAGGTATTCTTCTTTCCTATTATTCCCCTTAGAAAAACTTCTATAGTAGTAAAGACAAAAAATGTCTTTTTTGCCCTCAAGGCTTTTGGTTCAATGGTAAGAGTGGAATGCGTGATGTGTGGGTTAGGTGCACGTCACAGGGTCGAACCTTACGATGAACCAAAAGTCTGCATTAAGTGTAGGAAAGGGCCCATTATCCACTTAGTTCCAAACAGTACGCCATTTGGCCCTTGAAAATTTCTTGGTTACAAAAAAAAGTTTCATCTAGGAAAGCGAGCTTGATGAACTAAGCTATCGTTGAACCCATTATTTTCAGGCTGAAAAAGTTTGTCCAGGGTGTGGGACAGAATGGCATTATAACATAACAAAAGCAGAAGTTGTAGACGAAGAAGATGATGCATCTGCTCCTGATGAAAGTCAGCAGCCTGGTGAACCCTTGATGAGAAAGAGGCGGAGGACCTGTGGAGTGACCGATGCTGATACCCCCTTAACGAGAAACAGGCAAAGGACCCGTGGAGGTAATGATTCTGATACTGTCAAGCCTGGATCATCTCAAAGTACGAGGGTGACTCGGGGTTCTGCCCGTCTGAGGAGTGCAAGTTAAGAAATATGTTTTACTAGTTTTGGTGCTCATGCACATCTAAGTATATGAAATGGTCGTCCGTATATTTTTGCACCCCATGAAGGTTTACGTATTTGGTAGACCTAATTCTAACTTTTGATTGTAAATTATAGGAGCATCTATTCCCTTGGTGTTCTTCAATTGCAACTATAGCGCAGAAGATTTCTTCCTAGCATATACTAGTGAATGTTATCGATGTTAACTCTATTCAAATCCATTCCCTTCTTGAACTTTTGAATTCAACTCGTAATACAAAAAATGTTGGAGAGTAACTTTTAAGAATGGGCTGAATGTAAATTTGTAAGCTTATTGTGTTGGTAAATTCGCAAATACTAATGCGTCCATTTTTTCAATTAAAAAAGAAATTTTTACCTCCTATAGCAAAGATTAACACCTTATTTATTTAAAATAAATATCATTTAAAAAAATTATATTTTATCGATACATTTTAATGTTTATAGCAAAATATCTAATTTTGGTCATCTTTTGCCCCTAAGCCACTAAATACGCTATTCAATTATACCATTTTCTTTTTCTCTCTACTTTGATACATGACATTCTCTTCCCCACACGATGTTCAATCTCAAAATTCCTCTCACCCACATCACTGTTATCACGGACCATTAGTCACAAACGGTGATTTTGCCCGGTATACTACGAAGACTTCCAGCTAGTGAGCAGCCTCCTGGATGGAATCAACATGTTGTTGTAGCTCAGTGAGGCAGCGATGGACCGCCAAAAGGGCACCAGAGATTTGGCGGAGATTGGCAATTGAGTCATTCTGCAGCGAATCGTTTACTGTTTGTGCTTGGACTTGGGTGGCCAATGGTGGCTGCTGCGAATGAGGCGTGGCAGTTGCGCCGATATCTACCGGTTTACTCATCGTCGCTTTAGAAGTAGAGAACCATATTAGTGAGAATGGACCAAGCAGTGTTAGTAATTTCTGCAACCGAAATTGAATCCAAAGGAGATGAAGCCTCCGATTAACGGCAGCGTGAGAACAGTGAGATTCAGGGTTTTTGCTCAACGGCGGATTCGCCGAAAATTAGGGTTTGTTCTTGAACAAAGACGACGGAGTTTGGGGCTGAGCAACTTGATTTTCTTTTAATATATTTTAATATTTTTTCAACGTATCACGTTGTATTTCATTGTATTCATTGTCTTTTTTTTTTATTGTAATTCAATGTATCTCACTGTATTCCATGTATTTCATTGTATTCATTGTCTTTTTTTTTATTGTAATTCAATGTATCTCACTGTATTCCATGTATTTCATTGTATTCACTTTATTTTTTTCCATTGTATTTCAATGTATCCCGCTGTATTCTATGTATTTCATTGTATTCATTGTCTCGCTATATGTCATAAATGTATTCATATGTTTTTTTTAATAATACAATTTATGTATTCAGATATATTACATAATTTCTCTGAAAATTGCTATATTTTTGGAGTATTTTTCGGTTGAGAATCTTTTTTATAACTGGAAATACAAATTTTGTGTGTTATAATTGAATTTGTTGAGTTATATTAGGAGTCTATTATGTTAATTGATTCACTTTCAGTTTAAAAACAATGTAATCCCCCGTTTCACGCCATAAATACAATCGAATACCCTAATTCACGCCTATTTTTGCTACCGTATTAAATGCATCTTATAACAAGAAAAAACATATCTACAATACGTAATATAACAAATGGTATCTATAAATAGCTAAGTATCACTAAAAGATAGTGCTTTATGAAAATTTCTCATTAAAAAAACGTTACTCCTGCTTTATTGTTTGTACTAGCAATCAATATTGTAGTTAAAATCATTATACTTAGAATGACACACCCTTGCTCTCATAAGTTGGCTCCTTTTCATGTCAGTTTGAAGTTGTGATAGCGAAGAAACTGAAAAAAATACAGTTACACTCAGGTTATACAATATCCAAATTCCCAGGCAAGCAACTTAAATCCAAATATTCTTTTTCGCCAAATCCTACAATAGTGCCAACAATTTCCATACAAACTTCAAATGTTAAAGTAATTTCCTCCCTCTTGTTCATTTTCAAGAGCAAATCATCAAATATCAACAACGGAACAACCATATCAATGTCAACATTTAGCTTCTAAGTAAAAATGGTATGGATTGTATGTTCAGAGCACACTCTCCGAGAATTGATGATATAGTGGTAGGTGATGAAGCTGAGGCATAAGAAGATCATGAAGCCACCGACCCAAAGGTTCAAATCAATTGGATACTTGACTTGGCAAGACAACTCTAGCCAAAAAAATATATAATTACAAATACAAACTTTCCACTTTTAACATTTGAGCATGTTGTTGCATTTCACAAGTATGAGAGAAAAGAAATTTGTCGAATGTTAAGTTATTTCCTTCAATGAAATTTCCAATTGACGAATTTCTCTTCTTATGTACTTGGGAAACTTATACCATGCTCAAACAACAACGTGAATAGTCATGTACTTGCAATTTATACATGTTCTTGGTTAGAGTTGTCTTACCAAGTCCAAGTGGTCACCGATTGATTTGAACATTCAGCTAAATGGCTTCATAAGCTTTTTCTACCTCACCTTCCAAACCACTATTTCATCAATCTTCGAAGACTGGTTGTTGTGAGATACGGCAAGTAGCTTCTTCACCACGCTTTGTCATACAAATAACTGAAACATGTCTCACTGTCAGCACGATCTGGTATAAGACAACAAGCTCCTTAGTTTGTCGTAGCAACTTTGCAGACCAGAGTTTTTAGGCAAGGTATAGCACCAATTCCTTCAAACAAGCAAATGATTTCTACTTGGCCTTGCAAATCAAGAGTTCCTTTAGCATCTTCTTCCTATATCTAGTTTTGGTGTGTATGCAAGTAATAGACAAGGAAAGTCCTGCATACAGAGGTCATTGACATTTTTGTCAAATACCAATTCAGAAAGCTTTTCTTATTTATACAAATATAAAGATTTAAACACACACACAAACGGCCAAACACAATTGAATAGTTGAACTTATCTAGTACATAATAGCGATGCCAAGTTTAGTAGACTATTTCCTACCAAAGCCAAGTACACAATACCATTTTATAGCATCAAACCTATAATCAGTAACCAGAAAGAGTGGCACAAGAACTTTTAAAAACTTTAATCTCAAAATACTGTTTGATCTTTTATCTTTGCTTGATATATAAAGCAAAACACTGTTCTTTAAGATAAGTACGTTGTAATTTCAGGACGCTGTACTATACTGGAAAAGACTGATTAGTCTTATAATTTTTGAAGTTACTAGTGAAATGACAAGAATACTCCAACAAAATTAGCATGCATGTTTTGGTGCAGAAATAAAGAATATGGAAAGATTAATAGCCTGTTTGGCCAAGCTTTTTTTTTTGGGCCAAAAGCGTTTTTTTTGGCCAAAAGCACTTTTGATCAAAAACTGAAGTGTTTGGCCAAGCTTTTAAAAAGTGCTTTTGAGAAAAAAAAGTAGTTCTCTCGAAAAACACTTTTCTGAGAAGCACTTTTGAGAAAAATACACTTATAAGCAGTTTCCAAAAACTTGGTCAAACACTAATTATTGCTCAAAAGTGTTTTTAAAATTAATTAGCCAAAAATAAACTGATTCTCACCAAAAGCACTTTTTAAAAAAGTACTTTTGAGAAAAGCATTTCTCAAAATAAGCTGATTTTAGAAGCTTGGCCAAACAGGCTATAAGTATCAAGACATAGGCCAGCATAAGTTGTTAAAGCTAAAAAGGAGTTTATTATCATAACTCATGTCCCTCAAAGATCAAATGTTAGCATATTTAATTGATCTCCATTATAAAGATTACATTTCCAAAGAGATCATGCAACATAGAGCTACTCAGAGGTATAGAGTGATATGGTATCGAACATAAAATGGTTATGCTATAGTAAGCTACCAAGGGATGAAGCTAGAAGCCCGAAGATGGATTTGGTCGAGCCTAGTAGTGTTTGTTCAAACAATGTTACCAAATTCATTTATATAAATAAATATTAAATTTAGAACTCAATTATTAGCATTTGTTCTCCTCCCCACCTTCATAAGGTAGAAATAAGTACCGCGTACACATTAACCTACCTAGTCCACACCTGTGAGATCTTTTTTTTGTTGTTGTTGTTGTTGTAATTATTAGCATTTGAGATCATTCTAAAATCTATCCTAAATAAATAAATAAAAATCCTACCCCCGTATTTCTTATTTGATCAAGCTTCAAAAAGATCCTTAACAAATAGTAACTGAGAAATTATACTCTGTCGTCTCAATTTATGTTATACTCTGTCACTTAATCTATCAAACATTTCTGTAGAAACAATTTTACTTTAAACTTGTACTAGTCACATATATGATTCATTTTAGAACACAAATTTCAAAAGTCTTTCTTTCTTAAACTCTGTGTCTAATCAAACAGCATCACACAAATTAGGACGGTGGGAGTACAAATTTAAGACATTACTCATTAACAAGTAAAACAAATACAAAGATTGAAGCTTTATAAATTAAAAAATGAAAAGAGCTTGTACCGTATGTTAAGCAGCTTGAGATAAATTCAGATCGGATTCAAAATAGGTTCTTGGCAATGTCGCCGCCGCCGGCGAGAACGCCGTTTGACGGCGGCTGAAGGTTAATTGAGCACCTTACTCCCTATAACCCTAACCCTAGTAATATAGTACATTTTTATAGGTGAGTTTGGCCCCTTTGGTAGGTTTAGTTTCACTAATTAAATTACATCCACCTCCCTCTATCTTAATAAAATTATGTTTTAACTATAGCTTAAATTTTAAAATTTCCATTTAGAATCTTAATGCTAGTATGAGATACTTTTTATATATGAGCTCTCCCTCCATCTTAATATAGTTATGTTTTATTATAACTTAAAATTTAAAATTACATGTAAAAGCCTAATGAGATACTTATTTATATGTGAGTGTGGCTTATGGGTGTTTAACGGGCGGGGTTGACCCGTTTTCGGTCCGGCCTAGACCGGTATTAACCCGAACCGGTGGTAGGGGGTCGGGTAGGGTTGGGTTTGGGGGGTTAGGGGGTTGGGACGTTTACATTTTTCTTACCGGTTAATCGGACTGGTCAAATTCGGTCAAGAAAAAATACTGTTGAACCAATTAACCGGACCGGCCCAGACCGGTTCTACAGCTATTTTCTGTTCTTTTTATAATTAAAAAATTCATTTGACCGTTGACAATTGTAAGCTTCCAATTTGATTGTTGCCCAAAGGATATTTTCAAGAATAACCTTTTTTGGGGCAATCTTTTAAAAAAAATATAACATTTTATGTAATTACTAATTTAGACATTTGAAAAACTATAAACACACTTACCCTCCCCCCCCCCCCCCTCTTCATTTCTTCACTCATCTCTCATTTCTCAAACTCAAATTCACAATTCAAGTTAAATCATGCCCTGTACTTATAGAATGCGCTCATATGTTTATGAACACTTTGAGGTGGTAGAAGAAAATGAAGAAGTTCACAAAGTTAAAGCAAGAATTGTGGTCGAGTCTTAAATCTTCGTCTAAAAGTGGGTGGGCATAGGCTGTTTAAGGAGACATATGAAGAGTTGTCTTGAGTGTTCTCCAGAAAATCGTATTTAAGTTGATTTGAGACAATTTGTGTTATTTTAAAATTATTAGACGTATTTATTCTTAATGTTTTAGTTTGTTAGATTAATTTGAAGTATTATTATGCAATGAAATTTTGAAATGAAACTATGAGAGTCTTTGAAGTTTGATCCTTATATATCAAGTTATTATAACACTCTAGTATCCAGTATAAGATTTATATTATTAAGTTATATTTTTTTCATGTTCATTGTATTACCTTAAATTCGTAATGAATTTTTCAAATATAAGGGTTTTAAAGCCTTTGAAATTTATTCAAAGGCTCTTTTTATAAAATTATTTTTTTTTTTGTTTTATATTTTTACTTTATAATAATATAAATTACGATAGCTATACAAAAATTTTTTAAAAAAAACTTAAAACCGGCCCGGGCCCTTAGACCTGTAACCGCTCCGGTTCAATTTTTACTCGGATGGTCCCGGACCCGTTAAGCCCGGTTTGGAAAAACCGGTAACCGACCTGGATTGGTGACCAACCGGTCACCTTTTTTCTCAACCCGACCCGACCCGCCCAACCCATTTGACACCTTTAGTGTGGCCTCTTTTAATCAGTTTACATTTTTCAATTAAATTAAAATTTCATCTTTTTGTATTTAACTTTCGTCTCTCTAGTTAACCTTAGTGTAACAACTTGTTTGGATGGTTGTTACCTATTGTATTGTATCGTATTGTTACTTTAAATACAATGTTTGTTTTGATTGTTACTTATATTTTATTTTGTATCGTGTCGTTAAATTCATCGTTACATAACGATGAGATGTGCAACTTTACGTAACGACCGATTTGGTGTGGTCGCATCGTTACCTTGTCTTTTTCTCTCAATCTCACCCTTCATTATTATTAAATTATTTAATTTTATTATTTACCCTAGCTTTTTATATACTATATCATAATTTTTCTTTATAATATTACAAGTTTATTCATCATATTACTAATGTGTGATACTATAAAATGACGACAAAACGATACAATCCACCCAAACATTGTATTCATCAAACAATACAATAAAATACGATATGATACATTATGAAACGACATGTAACAACTATCCAAACAAGCTGAGAGACATCGTTTGTATGTGAGTTTAGTCATATTTGGTAAGTTTACGCATTTCGTCAATTGAACTATATCTCCCGATCGTAATACAACAATTTTAGCTATAACTAAGATTTTGAAATTACAGTTATGACCTTTATAGCTTATAAGTATCTTTCTTTTGTATTGCACTTCATCCCTTTAGCCCCAACCTTAGTTAGTACGTGCTGTATTTTATATGTTGAGAAAATTTGTATTTAGTCAATTACATTACATTCACTTGTTTCTACAATATTAAAATTATGTTTAAGTATAATTAGATTTTCAACTATGCTTATGACCTCTATTTGTATTTAACCTTCCTCTCTCTAATCCCGATTTCGCGTCAATTAAGTTATGTTCATTCTCTATCTTAATAATATTATGTTTACTTATAACTTATAGCTTGTCCGGCTAAGCTTATCAAGATGCCAAGTTTTTTTAGAAAAAAAAAGTGCTTTTAGAAAGAAGTTTTTAAGAAGCAGAAAAAAATAGTGTATTCCAAAAAACAGAAGCATAAGCAGTTTTCACTTTTCTTCTTATCAAAAATACCCTTAACAAAATATGGTATATACCAAAACAATCGTTAAACCTAATACTTAGGATATTAATGTATAAGTATGTCTTCTTATTTTTAGGATAATTTTCTAATATTAACTTATATTAAAAGAATTAAGAATTTTTTAATTTTATTTTCATAATTTACTTAAATAAAATGAAAAGATTCAATTATTGTTTGTAATAACAATTTTTTGAGATTATTTATTTACTTATAATATTAACTATTAAGTAAATCTATTCATGTTCTTATTCGTAATTTGATACTTAAAAGCACTTTCTGAAAAGCTTGGCCAAACACAAATTATTTAGCCAAATACAAATTGTTATCTCCAAAAGTACCTTTTTTAAGCACTTTTCAAAATAAACTGGCTTAGCCAAACATGCTATTAGATTATAAAACTGCATTTATGACTTCTATGATATTTAATTTTCTTCATATTTAACCTTTCCCTCTCCATCCTAACCATAGTAAGAGTTATCCTTTTATATGAGATTAGTCTCTTTTGGTAAGTTTACATTTCTTCAATTAAATTACATTCATCTATGTCAATCTCAGTAAGAGTATGGTTATCTATAACAGATTATAAAGCGATACCTACGACTCGTATTATCGTATTTAACCTTTATGCCTTTTAATATGCGAGTTTGGTCCCTTATACGTATAACAAAGGGTCAAATATACCTATTTACTTTCGAATATTGTCTACATTTAATCTTTGTTCTACTATCCGGTCAAATTTACCCCGACCATTATACTGTCTGGCCAAACCCCTATCATCAGCAAACATTTAAAATTACTCCTTGATCTGTTAAGTAATCCAAAATCTATCAAATTCCTTTTGTTTAAATCACATGTTCTTCTTGCTCCATTATTTTCAAAAATTACTATTGATGCAAATGCTAAAGTTACTAGACTATGCAAATTATTCATACATTTTTTTAATTATTAATGCACTCACTTCTCTTCTTGCAATAATAGGCTTGGAATTGGTTTAAAATTTTATTTAATTTTCAATCATATACACACCGTAGAATTTAGCGGGTCTATTTATTGTGTATTATATGCAGCTGATCATCATGTATGTACATGTACATTCAAATATATTTTGTCATTGTCTGGTTAGTATAGAGTTCGATCGACTAACTTAAAAGTGCACAATGTGTAGACATTTAATTAAAGCAAAGTTGAATTCGACAATGTCAAGTCTCCGAGGAACTTCAACTTCAATCACTAATACTTGCAAAGTCTCCGTACATTTGGTGAAACAAATTCATTAAAATTGGAATGTTATATCTACTTCTAGAATTTAGAAAAGTTACCTAATTTAGATTTTTCAATTTACTATACTTTGTTTATTAATAGTTGTATTATTTAATACCTTTCTCTTATTTTTTTAATTCAATTCAAAAAGTAGGTAAATGCCAATTATTTCAAAAATAGTGGACCAAGAAAAAGAATCAGTAACTTAATTAAAATGATTTCGAAGATTTTGGGTCACCTGACGGACTGAGGGGTAATTTTTAAAAGTTTGCTGAGTGTAGGAGTAAATTTGACCCGATAGTATAACGGTAGGGGGTAAATTTGGCCAGATAGTATAATGAAGGTTAAATATAAACAATATCTTAAAGTAAAGGGGTATCTTTGGTTCTTTTCCCTAGATTTTAAAACTATATTTGTAACATTATCATCATCTTTTTTTTTTTCTAATAATAAACAGAGACGAATTTAGAGCAAAGGTTACGGGTTCCCGTGAACTCAATAACTTTTGCATAGACGTTGTATTTGTACTAAAAAATTCATTGAAAGTATAAGAATATTTAGCTTGGAAAATAATTCGTTGGTCCAGTTATCATGTAGATTAACTTGAGATTGTTATAAGAACCCATAAACTTAAAATTCTGGATCCACCTCTGATAATAAATATCTAGAAAAGTTATTTTGATAACGTTAAAACATAATTGTTGTAGATTTTACTTAATATACAGAAAGTTACTACAGTATATTATTTTATTACATTAATGTAATTAAACTTTACCTATTATAACATTACAAAATAAGAAAGAAATATTCATTTTTGGTGAACATTTTAAAACACTTTGAAATGCACAATGAGACAAATAAATTGAAACATAGCATTAAATATCATTAAAGAGCTGAAGATAGTCTCTAGATTGGTAGTTGTTGGATCATAAAACCTTGTATGGTCTTGATCAAAGTAAATATGCTGGAATCAATAGATCATGTGGGGTCACAAGTTTGAAAACATGTGCTTCATGACCATAACTTTTCTAGAAAAGTATTTTTAAATAATCGTTTTGTTCCGGTCACCTTTGTTCGCATCTCGATTATTTTACTAGATATATGTTATTTTCCACCAACACAAGTATCGAGTAACTTTATC